ATCCAACAAACCACTGCTTCTGAACGGCTGGCTCGCGTGCGTGCAAGCGCCGTGATGATGGTCATCGTGAGTGGACCCTTTTGTTTCACCTCTCGCACGGTTGGCAAGAGATAAATATGTTCAACATACACACGTTGCATACATCGCTTCTGATTTGCGCGACAGATGCTTTGGATAAGCATTGCCTCGCAATACAGACAGAGGTATAGTGAAAGAGAGAAGCTGGGAGGCACAGAGAGAGAGTAAGAGGGAGAGACTGACTGACGGCTTTTTAGCCGATGGCAGGTAGAACTGGTAAGATGCCAGCAACAAAGCCCAACTCCAACACAGGCAATGCAAATTCAAAGATAGGTGTGCATTAGTTTCAGTGAGGCTCTTTGGCACTGTGACCTGCAGCTCCACAATCCAACTTATCCTACAGCACTCAACATTGAAAGTGCCCTCCACCAGGGTCAACTTGGCCTCGAATGATTACGCATCGCTGCGTTCATAGTGCTGCACACAACAGAAAGGACTTGGGATTGGAGTGTTTTATTGCAGCTCTCAGCGATACATTTTTTTTGTCGGGAGCAAATGCAAGCAGGAGCGGTGGTGCAGCTGTTCGCTCACTGCGCGATGAACCCAATGACCTGAGTGTGATTCATGGCCACGGTAAACATCAGCGGTGAGTGATATCTGGACCAGTCCTTTCTCCTCTCGTCATCAACGGGCACTGACCGGCATGGTGAAGTTATGGCCAAATAACCTACCATGACCGACACTGCGCTGGAAAACCTTCACCCAGTGGTGAATTGACAAAGGGCTGAAACAAATTTTCAGGGGATTGCGAGCCACATAAAAAAAAATAGATTATTTCAGTTCCTTGAATTAGTCACTGTTGCGAAGCAGAGACCAGAGGCTTATAATGCAAAGCAACCAGCAACAGATGGAGGCCAGGGTAAGGAGAGTAGGTGAGATTTGATAAGCTTCTTGAATTGATTTGGCTTACGTGATGTTTGAAAGACAGATAAGGGCAGGGAGGTGTAATTCTTGAGTTGTGCGGGCAAGGAAGAAGGTGGCATGTTCTATTGTGTCACGAGGCAGCGAAACGCGACATGGATGAGAGCAGTTGGCAATGCGTGTGGACCACAATTCGAGAAATGAGGGTTCTGATCAAAGCACTCGGCTCCTGAGAGCAACACCGGCTATAGAAGCGGTGCTGGCAGTGGTATAACAGAACCCATTTGCTAGTGCCCTCTGCATGAATGGACATAGAATGGCGTGGCCTTCCAGCAAAGTAATTGGTGTGGGTCCCACAATGCCTACATTCTTACCAATGTCACCCAACTAAACAAAGCAACCTGAAATAAAGACAGATGAATTTAATGGTTCTCTGACTTTGTAGTGTTTCTGCAACGCGGCATGCCCATAATAAACATTCAACATACTCTTTTGATTTCTGTCCCCTGAATCCCAGGGTGTTTAGATATTTTTTTTCGAACATGTTTTGTCTTGCACAAAAATCAGTCAGATTAGCTTGAGCAGCTGGCATTCAGAGCGTGCCACTTACAATACATTCATTCAGCTTTGCTTAATCTTTCATTTTGGCCCCATCTCATACGCTTGCTGACAGCTGTGTCTGCAAGACACACGTTACGAAGTGTTGTATTTTGCGATAAGCAGGCTCATGTATAAAATACACATCTTTAAAATGACCCTCGTTAATTTTGGCAGGGTTCATTTATGGAGCTTCCTGCAAGCCTCATTAATAATTTGTCTTTTCTATTATTTTAATTACCTGCACCTAGAAATGTCTCAGTTAATGCATTGGATTTGTTTTCTATTTTAAACGAAAAGTTCTTAATTTGAGATTGTGGCTTATGGTCAGGGCTTTGGAAAGCGATAAAATTCATACTTTAATAAAGTGTCTGTTTTGTGGGTTAGTGCTAAAGATACAATTAGTGAGTTTGGCTGTGTAAAGAAACAAACGCACTGAATGAAAAATTGCGCTAGTTTGATTTAATTGAAATAAGAATATCAAGGTCAAGATTTGTTCTATACTTTTAAATACTGTATAATGGCAAGTCTATAAGCTTTGGAGAAAAGCGGTTCAAATTTTTTTGCAATTTGTGATTTAGACTGTGGATACGTATATAAGCAAGGTTATATTGTATTCTAATTTCATCATAATTTGGCGGGATAAAATTGACACAATTAAAACGCAACATGACGCGCCATCTACTTTCCCTGTGCCCTACATCAGCATTCCCGTGAGGCCCATGCTCTAGTCCAGGTTGTTTATAATTTATCGTGCCCAATTCCACGACAGCCAGCTGCGGACACGGGAGGCGCTGTGTTCATTCACGCCAGTGGCCACATCTCCGTCACTGGGGTGGCTTGATGCTGCGTAGCGTAAACACATCTGGCTGTCGCCTGATGTTGTAATTACTGGCGAAATGTCGTACTCAGATTGTCAATGTTGTGGCTTGGCTCTCTAACACACCTGAGTGACGAATTGGCATTTTCTGTTTACGTGACAACCCTTACTAGTTGGCTGTGTCGGGTGGTGGCGGGTTTTAACGACACATTTATATATTTATGCGATATAACTCCAAAAACCTCTATTATTAGTGTAAACACACCTGCAGATCCACAGGCTCGCAGAAATTAGAGTGCAGAATGAGATTCATTCCACCAGACCGCAGATTGCTTTCCTGTCTGGCCGGCAGTTAGCCGTAGAAGCTACGATAAGGCCCATTGATTTGAGGTTGTGTTCTGCCTTGATCTTGGGCTGTGCATTGAGATTTGCATCTGGGTGCTGAAGCTTGGAAGGAATGGAACAAGGTAATTTCCACCCTGTTGCTTGTAACTCTTCGGTACGAACTGAGGGGTGTTATAATGAATAAATAATAAACGAAGGATTAAACTTGAAAAGGTACAACACCTGTGCAGATATAAAGTACTTGATCCTCAGCTTTAATCAGTGATTTTTTTTTATAACTGTACAAGCAGCAGATCCCAATGGGAAAATCGTCTATGTTATGTTTTACTGTATTAAATGGTTGTTAACAAGCATGTATTATTACAAGAATCATTGCTAACGATATGTGTATCAATGCTTGTTGCCATCAAATTACCATGACATCAAAGCCCTTAGATATATTATGTTCCAAGTTAATGTCCCGCTATTTGTATGAATGCCCAATGGAGAGAATGTGTATAATGAGAGTTACATTATGTACTTGACGAAATAGTAACACTAGCCACAAAGCTGTGAACATTGCTGGAATAAATAATAATAAACAGAAGGTGTCATGTAGATTATGTCTGTATTCATATGCCGTATTGCTGTATAATTTCCAATTCACATGAATTGTAAACATTTTGCCACGCGGTGCTGCCATAGGACACAGGGCATGGTTGACTCCTTTAGCTCATTTGGCTATTTCAGACTTCCAACACTTTTGTGTATGTATTTTCTCCAATAAATTTTTTACTACCTTTTTTGTACCAAAATTAACTTACATTGCCTCCAAAATTAACCCAGGAGTTTGGCTTCGAGTTGAGATATAAATCATCCTCTACATCCCTACATATAGCGAGGCCTTTCCATCCAATCAAATGCAGGGGCTTATTATTCCAGGAGATACTACTCCGTGCATGAGTATGTATGCAACTCCGATTAGCACAGTTGGTCACGTACGGTGCAAAAGAGGTTCAACATACATACACACATACACACATACATACACCATAACCATCTCACATTAGATTGCCCTCATGACACAAATACCAAACTGACAGAGACGGTGAGTCCATGCATCTAATGTTCATAAATATGTTCTTAGGTTTATAGGAATAATTATAATAATGCTGATTTGTAACGCGCACGATTATCACTTGCCCGAAGGCAGCGGCCCTGAGGGTACAATATTATAGGGTTATTATGGATGGGCCTACTTTGTAATCATGGTGGTAGTCCCATACACTGATACACTCTACACCAAAAAGAGCCGAGGAGCTGTCTGGATTTGATCCAGTGCAGAATGAACATTAATTCTCGTTGCTTTCATTAACGTAACAGTGACGTCTGTTGAACATGTCCATCTCTTGATTTTCAATGGTTTCATCAGGAAAACTTCCGGCCAGGTGATTCAGTGCCGCGGTGGCGAGATGTTAACTGCCTCGCCTGATAAACGCCTTTTTTTGTCCTTCCCCCGGACCTCCGATTAGCATGGTTGGCTACATATGGCGCAAAAGAAGTGCAGCATACATATGTATAGAGGAGATCGTGGGTTTTATCCCTTCCCTGACGCCTATATATTTAGAGTTTACATGTTCTCCTCAGGGTTCCCCCCATGGTGGTGAGATGTTAACTACCTCGCCTGGTATACAGGAGGTCCTGGGTTCGATCCCGACCCTGACGCCTGCTGCTGTATATTTAGAGTTTGCGTGTCATTTCCCATGGTTGCGTGGATTTTCCTCCGGGTCCTCCGGTTTTTCCCTCCACATTTAGAATCAAACGTCACCACCACGCGTTTAGAGTCTTTGGCTGCTATACATTTACACGTGATGAGCCACTTTGTTACGCTATCATTTTGTGGCCACAGGACCGGTGCAGATAATCGTCACTGGTGTTGGCCGTGAGCGCGAATCGAATTCGGGTCGCCGGGTTTGTCGCGCAGCGTAGCGCTAACCACAGTTCTATGCTCCATATGTCACTGCATACAAATCACAGCACTACATACAGCTTCTCCCCCACACACACGCGCATGCCCGTACACACACACCATTCACTTTCCCCACCACACTCGCACTCAACGCACGCAGCCGCTGCGTCATTTTTCTTTCCTCCCCTTGATAGAACAGCACCAAAATGGCATTAAAATCGATGAATTATTTGAAGATATGTGGATCAATCTGTGGCAACGAAAACAGCATTGTGCAGTTTAAGCAGTATTGAGTCGTGGCTCATGGGACTTGCCAGCAAACGCAATTAAATCACCCGGTGAGTAAGGAGGCATCTATTTAAACATCTGCCGATAAAAAAAATGTATCCGTTAACCACGCAGCGCTTTGCTGGTGACTTTCTTCTAATCTGATCATGTATAAAAGACAATGCTATTATTAAAATTAATTCCTACAATTTTTTTCCACGTATGTATTCAAGCCTTTCATTATATATTTACAAATGCAATGATGTAAAACACACTGGCGGATGATGGTTTTTTTTTTCCCGTTCACTCTTTTTTTTTTACGTATTCGCTGCGGCTATCTTTTTTACTCGCGCTCCCCGCGTCCGCGTGTGCATCGTGTCAACGCATCACGCCGTTCCGATCTACCCGCGCGTGCGATGCGCGCAGGAAAAACCTCGCGATGCAAGCGCACGCTTACTGGGGAAAGGCGCGCGCGTGTGTGCGTGCGTGCGTGTGTGGTTAAAGCGTGGCACAGCGATACCGAGAAACGCAGTCAGCCGCCAAGCAGCCGGCTCTTCGTCATCTCACAGATTCAACTGCGCCGAGATTGCTCCGTCTCGCTTTGCTCCGGCGTTGCGCGGCTGCAATTCGGGAATCCCGTCGCCTGCCGATGCTGCATCGCCGTGGGACAGCCCCTTCTAATTTTGCGATCAAACTTCTGGATCCTTGGATGAAACGCGCCGTTATAAATGTAAATTTTCATGATTATTAAACTACACAGGCGTGTAGTGCTTCAGAGAAAGCTTCTAATTGCAACGAAACAAAGCTTCCTAGTTCGAGAATCTGCATTTTTGTCAACGGGAGCTCTCGTTTTTCTTTATTATTTTTCCCTTTCTCTCCGCACAAGCCCCCTCGTCACGACACGTGGATTTATTCGAGACGACGTCGGTGGAAATTCGCGCGTTCCTTTTGTCCGCTGAAGTTTTTTTCTGCGCGAAGCGCGTTTTGATGCCACCGGGAAGTTGGCGGCGGGGACTGTGACACGCGGAGCACGAAGGTAACTCGGGGTAGCAGTTATGAGTAATGAGGCGATTAAACTTTAATGTTGTTTTCCAGACAACATACATCACGCGTAGATCATTTTCAAGGACGTCCACACGACAATTTATCCCTTTCCTTTATCCCTTTGCTTTTATTACCGCGAGTCACCTGTGCTGGCAGGGGCTGAGCGAGACGTTTCTGTGTTGGTACCATTGACGAATGGTGTTTTATCACTTTTCCACGTGGCACAAAAAAAGCGATAAAAATTGCCGAGTGATTGAACTGCCCAGACATTAAGGACACAAATGGGAAATCTCTAAATGTGCTCCATCACTCGTAACTGTATGGGTGTGATTCTTTGTGTTGCAGTGGGCTTGGGCAATTAAAAAGATATTACCACGACCCAGCTCCCCCATTCCCTATTTTTCGATGCCCAATCATTAAATATTTCAAGCGAAAAATGCAGGTCGCGCTGTGGTTAGAGCTTGGTCCGAGCTCAGAACCGTTGTTCAGAGGTTGACCTTTGCCTTTCGTTCCCTTGCGGTCGATAATACGCGTACCATCTTCGGGGAAAGACAACGGTGACCATCTTATGTAGAATGGCCTCTGCCAGAAAAAATGTGGAATTTCCACCACTAGCTCAGGGCTGTCAATGGAGGCAAACTTCGTCCCATTGTTCATTTCAGCAGGAAGACAGTATTACTTAATCTATCTAAAACCGAATTAATGCATACTTACATTATGATAGGTAAGTGATGATTACAGCCAGTGGTAGAGCAATTGGTATGCACGGTATCTTAATTTAAAAAGGTACAGTAACTACAATACCTTCAATTGCTTTCATTGTGTGTTCTCGATGTCTCTACCCGAGTATACTGCCCTTTCCGATATCAAAGGTCAGAGTGTATCCCTGCTCAACGGAGCATTGTTCAAGCCCTGAACCAGGGGTGGAAAATTCCAGATGCATTTTACGCTGGGGGCCAGTCTCTCCAAAGGGCACTCAAACAGAAATGCTGTCAGTAGAAGTCCTAAACAGATTGGTATTGTTTCTTACACTTGAAGATACTTGCACGTGCAGCAGTTTTCTCAAATGAAGCAACAGCAGCACGGTTTGTCATCTACCCATAGGGCGCTTCGTGCTCACAATGATGATTTGGCCATTAAATACAACGCCTTGCAATGCCCTTCACGGGGTTAACTAGAACGGTTGAAACACAATGCTAATTAGGCCCTGCTTAGAAATTAGTGCCTAGTTAGGTATTATATTGATCATTGGATGGGAACAAATCTCATTAGCTGGTTTAAAAATACAATGAGTGACCTTAGGGAAATAATTCAGGTATAAGGCCATGGTGCAGTGGTTCGTGTGCTGCACTCTCAACCCAACAATCTGAGTTCTGTTCAGAGCCAGCACTGACATCAGTGGTGTGTGATATGTGACCTGATCCTGGGCATCCCCTTTCACCAGTCCAACCCGTATGACCAACGTGGCACGAGGAAGCTCGACCCAGTAGGGGATTCATAAAGGGCCATAAATCATCATTACTTTTATTAGCCCAGCTGCAAACTGACATTATGACGTAATTAAATATGCATAACTGCTCTCTTACCTGGGTGAAACTAAGATGTAGTATGCGTGTGTATGTGTGTTGGAGAACAACATCCTAACTAAATTGGATTATTTTCATCACTGGCTGCCCCAATAAGTCTGTTTGCTGCTGGTCAGGTGTTGTGCACGGAGGTGCACCGTTTCACATCTCCCACGTGTGCTTTGCTGGCAATGCCCCGTGGAGTTGCGGATTCAGGGGGCTCGGCTCACAAATTGGGAAGTCGTGAATTTAGGTTTCGGTCCAGGGTTTATTCACCCTATTAGCCCCCGTCGGTTCAATAAAATAAGTTACTTCTTTGTGGGGAAATAACAGTGGTCAGCGGAGACGGGTGGATGACCACCGCTGGGGGAATGTGTAATTTGCGCCACTGGCTCAAAGGGGATGAGTCCTCCTGCTTCAGGTGCTCATTTAAACAGGCACGTTGACTCGCGCCAGACGAGTGTTGTGTAGTTCAAATGTGTGCTTTGCGCAAAAAAAATATATAATATCCGCGAAATTGCTTGTATTCATTTTGAAATCAGTCTGCCGGAGTAGTAAAAGGCTCATTGCTCACAGCAATGATGAGTCTGTAACCTTTGTAAATATTTAATAACGTTTATACGTACACACATGTGACCGCTAAATGACAGCAAGTAAAATGAAAAATGTCAGAAATCTTGAGACCTGCGTGAGTATTTTGCAGGTTTTTGTGATCCAGCACAACACAACATGCGCAGCCCTATCTTAATCGATATATTTACATTCGCATTCTGCTGTTGCTGCTGCTGAGCTTGTCAACTGAAGAGCAATCGCATTACACCCGTTCTGAAATCCCTCATTGCCTTCCCATTCATCTGCACATTTAACTAGAAAATCCCTCATTGTCTTCACAAATCCACAATGCCCTAACTTCTACCGCCTCTGTGATCTCATCTCCCGCTCCAGCAAACAATGCATTCCCATTCAATCTGCTGTCAATCTTTGCGCCATGGGGGGGGGGGGGGGCGGGGGGTCTCAGCCGGTTCTCCACTGCTTGCACTGGTCTCTGTACTTCTAACTCTCACCTTGCTGTAAGTGCCAACCATTGTGTAGCGCTCGACTGAATGCCTATCATTTGCCAATTCCACGTGACTGATCTTATTGGGCCTCCCACCCGATTGCCCACCTGTACATTTATTGTAAGTGTGATCAGTAGTTGTATACGCATCAGTTTGGCCACGTGGCATCGCAGCGGAGATCTCAACTTTCAATGAGGTCAGATGAGAGATAAAATCCTGATTGGAACTGAACTCAGCCCATCATCCCCCCTCCAGAGTCGCTAAAATAAGTACCATTTGATCACAATTAAAATAAATAAATTGTGGTACTGCATTTGCAGTGGTGCACAAGCGTAATAAAAAAAAATCAACATTTATCAATAATACTACCCGACAGAGGAAATGTTGCCTTCATAGCATCATCAATAAAAAAAGCTATTGGTCAAAATGTCACCTATTATATATGTTTCATCTCGGGGGCAGTGGTAAAAATTAAATAATCGTATTCACCACTGGTTCAGAATCATCATCAAAGATAAGCATCACTTTACATTCCTTTTAACGTGGAGACATATTAACCCTTTTCAGTTCTATATCTGTTTTCTTAATGTACGCATTTCCATAATTCATACTTTATTTCTTTGGGTTAGATCGTGTAGATATCACGACCAAAATTACGATTCATAATTAGTTAATTTTGGGTTAGATTGTGTAGATGCCTAATTACTAACCGTAATAATGTTCGTGAAAAAGCGTACATATACATTATTAATTTCGTTGATGGAATACAGTTTTGAAAGCCAGAATAAAACATAATTAAGTAGGCAAACAACTACCACTTCCAAATGTATATAAAAAAAAAACTCTACGTTTGTCAAAGTGGCTTTAAAATCAGATATATGCAATAGGAAACGTTTGGGGCAATGGCACCTGTAGCTTCCTAGTCTGCTATATTACATTCGTTTGTATGAAATGAGACAATAGATGGAGATTCGAAAAGTTAAAGTTGGCAATTAATATGCAGGTGACACGGAGAGAAAGTGGTCGTTTATTCAAGTGTTTGCGGGGTTAAGCGGGTTGCCTGATATCTGCGACAATTTGGAAGGAGAATGACTCAAGAAAACAAGTTAAACTGACAGTTCATTGCACAGTGATTGGATCACGATTGATATATTTCAGCAGTGGCTGGGTCGGTGATGCGATCTACTTCTGGCTACTGGAGTTTGCAGATACAGTTCGAGAGTGCCTGCTTTAATAAATGGAAAAGGCATCAAAAAGTGGCAGAAGAGGATAAGTAATATATAAATTATATAAGGCGGATAAGCATGACGTTATCGTGAGGAAACAGCGGTTAGAGACATGGGGGTCCAAGCGTTTGTGCATCAGAAGAGCAGAAAGGAGATTTCCTTGGAAGATTACCAGTTGAAAGATTGCATGGAAGATAAAAAGAGAAAATGGAAACAAAGAAATATATAGGGGTTCTTGAATCTCTAAAAGTTGAAAACCTCAAGTGCACTTTGACACAAAGATCTTAGCTCGTGAGACATTATTTTTTCACCGCCACTTATTTTTTTCTCCCTTCATATATTTTTCAGCAGATGGTCATGTAAAATTAACGGTATAGCCAGTAATCATGATATAGAGGCACAAGCGTGATGCATACATAATTGTGTTTGCAGGGCACGAACGGGCATATTTAACATTACTTGGCTGTTCCCGGATTGCATTGATGCAGACTCGCGTTGGTTCGGGATCGGCGTTGGTCCTAATAAAGCAAAAGACAACACTTTTCACATGCTCGTTCTTGATCATGCAATCACATATCAATACCAGTAAATAATTAAATTTATATTCAAGTTGTTAGTGGTGCCTGCCTATGATTCATAAACTCGATGGTAGGTTTGAGGGTTTTGGGCAAACGTGGAAATTGGGTGAGGTCCTCGAATTGGAGGGGGTGACGAGGTAGCGCCCATTGGAGTGAGCACAGAAAGAATGTCTCTGAAATGGCCGCTCAATTTTGGGTTATCGCCTCATATGCGTGGGGTTTTTCTTCCAGGCAACGCTGTCGCTTCCCTCGTGTGAAACACTCAACAGGGTACCAGGCCAAACACTCAAGAGCAGGACACTCCTGAGATGGAGTCCTGCTAATGAGTGGGGGGGGGGTACTGAAGTAAAGTAAAACATATATCGTTTAAATTTCTGTATGTGGCATTCACGAGGGTATTCTCTTCTGGAACTGATGGTTGATGCAGCCATATGAACATCATTTTCCAATAAAAATATAAATGTATCAATATAAAATTACAATGATAGAATTGGCAATTGTGAAGTATTTCTATTCAAAAATGTGATGGTACCGAGCACTTTAAAAGTGCCCATAATCATGGTCA